TATATATATATGTATATATATATATATATATATATATATATATATATATATATATATATATATATATATATATATATATATATATATATATATATATATATATATATATATATTACATTAATTCTACTTTGAATATAATACTGTGCAAAGGGTTACTATAATACATAATAAAAAAAAAGAAAAAAAAAAACACAGGAATTAAAAACACTAAAACTTAAATTGGCAATCTCATGTAGAACCTTTGCAAAATTGCTAATAATCTCAATAAATCCATACCTGTAAAGCTGCGTGACATCTTTGTATTTTTTTAACAATAACGTGTTGGGCAAGTAAAAGGTGAGGAAGCCCCCTGCTCCTCCTAAAAAGATTGTTGCACGTGCAAATCGACGTCCACCTGGTGTTAAAAACCATGCAAGTCGATCTGCAATTAAAAAGAGAATGTGAGGACAAATTTCAATGGCAGTGCTTCTTTGGTAGGTATGTGTCACAGATATTTATGCAAAATGAAGATTTTATATTTATAATTTAAATCAAGTTTTAAAGCTACTGCATTAACCACATGCTGCTAGGGAAAATGAATATGGGGTAAATGCTGTGCTCAATTTTTATATTTTGTGAAATGTCTCTGCACATATATGGCTCAGCTAGTGCTTTGCCACAAAGGAGTTAATTAGTCGCCTTTGTGACATTAGGTGATTTGAATTGGCGAGAATAATGTATTTTTTACTAGTGCTATGACCATCGATGGTGTTATTTTTATTATAAACATTCGGTTTACTCAAATTTTATGAACATTTCTAACAGTAAAATAAGATAACGTGAAATATATTCATAAATCAAGGAATAGGGTAAACAGGCGAGACAGGCAGTACTCGTACTTGGCTCATTTGTGACTAAGTAAGTGTAGCCATCTATGTGTAAAACAATCAATAAAGTAAACTCACAGTGGGCATGGCATGTACGTACATGCCATGCCCGTCGACACTGGGTTAATCTATCGATTTCAAATACGGTCTACCTTCTTTCACGTTTGTCATGTATAAAAATATAGTTCAAGTTTTTTTAAAAAATACGCCATTCATTAGTCAATAGCGCTTAATTCTGCCAATACTCAATCGATTAAATATATAAAGCCCGTATTCATAATTTCTCTAAGAATAAAATATCGATACAACTTACACAAGAAATTATGCAACACAAGTCATATCAACAGTTCTAAGTTACAACCAAATAACCCACACTGAGAAATGACTGACCTGCTTTGGCTCTCATTATGCTGACGTGTCAACACCAACAGCGGATAGAAAAATAAATATTACACCAGACAATCCATTGATAATCCCTCTCAGGCGTCGCTCTCCGGCAATCAATGAGGCGAAGGTGACACTGTTCACTTAGCTGGCGACTTTGGGAGAGATACACGGGAGGGAATTTCAAATCATTTTTAAAGAAACTACTGTGTTTACACATATACGTATATATGAGTACATACGTGCATACGTACGTATGTACACGCACTTACATACATACACACATACATACATACATACTTACATACATACATGCATGCATGCATGCATGCATGCATACATACATACATACATACATACATACATACATACATACATACATACATACATGCATCCATCCATCCATACATACATACATACATACATACATACATACATACATACATACATGCATACATACATACATGCATACATACATACATACATACATCCACACATACATACATACATACATCCACACATACATACATACATGCATCCATCTATTCATCCATACATACATACATACATGCATACATACATACATACGTACACACATACATTATAGATACATACATACATAAATACACACATGTATGTATATATGTATGAATTTATGTATGTATGTATGTATGTATGTATGTATGCATGTATGTATGTATGTATGGATGGATGGATGGATGGATGGATGGATGTAGTTATGTATGTATGAATGTGAGTATATATATATACATATATATATATATATATATATATATACATACATATATATATATATATATATATATATATATATATATATATATATATATATACGTGTGTGTGTGTGTGTGTGTGTGTGTGTGTGTGTGTGTGTGTGTGTGTGTGTGTGTGTGTGTGTGTGTGTGTGTGTGTGTGTGTGTGTGTAAGAAAAATGTGTGATGAAAATAACATCAAAGTCTTGGATATGTGGTGGATGAAGTTACCGCATGGGTTATTTGTTTTGATAAGTTTAAATTCATATCAACCAATAGAGTCTTTTAAACATAAACTACATCTAAAAAAATCAAGGATGAAGGCAAGCAGAATATCAAAATTCGCCGCGAAATAATCCTGAAATTATTCTAAATTAATTATTTATAGATTTTTCTAAATCACTAGAGATTTAGACAAAATTGTTTTCATTGCTGGAACCCGAGCGCTTCCCAGTCAGCTGATTCAAAACAAAACGT